GTGTGTGTGTGGGTTGGGGTGGGGTGTATTTATGTATCCACGTTACCTAGCACCGTGATCCAAACGGCAAAAGAAGCTGCATCGTTTACAGTTGAAAGCATGCACGTCGAAAATAATTTCAGCAAAGTAGATACAATCGTCAAGTATTTCAGTCCAATATGTTTGAGCAAGTTTTCTCCCATGAATCCTGTAAATATTTCGAAATTTTTTTGTAAACAACTGTACTTATTTTTCAATTAGGCAGGTCGATTTGTGACAACAAAAATAATGTAATAACTAAATTAAAGAGTGTATATAACAAGAGCCTGAATAGATGATGATTATAGCAGCACTGATTTATGCAAATATCAAATTTGTTTCTTACTCTGTATATTTTCTATTTTGATGTATTATAATCAATATTTCTTTTCCTACTCATTGATGTGGCGTATCTAGGGCGTACGGGGGTGGTCGACGAAGAATAATCGCTCCCCTCCCCCCCTAAAAAATCACGCTCAATTAGTTTAAAATCTCATCACCTTATCTACTCTACTTACCAGTAAAGTTATTGACAGCTATTGATATAGCTGCAAAGAATGTTATATATCCATCCGTGCAACCTATCGAATCTGCAATTGCTGCATTCAAAACCCCCATGATGACATTAGTCACACCAATCATGAAGTACAGAAATCCATTGTTGAGTAGGCAGAGAAGTTTATCTGTATTTGATAAGTCGGAGTGCGGTAAACGGACATTTTCCATTGCTACTCAAACAAATTGCCACTAAACTTGATTTGCAATGGCCAACCCTTTAGCCGTGTAATACCTATATGACTGCATCGTTTAAGTGTCTAATAATAACAATAAACTTGTGGCTTCTTATATTTTGCACAATGAAATGTTACGCTTGATGGTTATACTGTTAAGAGACTGCAGGTCAAGATTACATTCTAGGATTCTAAGCTTGTTGACAGTACGTTTTTTATATAAGCAACCTTCGATATGAATAGTATAGCTAGAAGCTTTCTGATAGAAAGTAGAATACTGCATGCGAGGTTCTGTAATTCATATAAATATTAGTGACAATCAGTCATTAATATCTTGTTTTAAATTCTACCTGTTCATAGCATGTAAGGGTTTACTACTTTTTGTTTATTTCGAAGTTCGAAGATTAATGTGTATTTTAATTTTTTTTAAATATTCTTCTATATTGCATATGATTGTCTTTTTGTTAAGGTACCGTAATACAACACATTGTCAGGCCTTGCCTTGGTTGTATTTCCTCCATCTTAATTTTTCTTTTTGTTTTGTTTTGTTTTTTTGTTTTTTGTTTTTTTTTTATTCATGATGGAAAATGATCGAAGTTATTTCTCTATTCATACTATTTTTCTTGTGTATCCAAAAGAAAGCTCAATATTTAAAACAAAATAATATTTGGTCATTAATATTTCACTAGAATCAAGAAACAACATCAGGAATACATACAACTTTTGTAGTTTTAATTACATATCTGTTGATTTCAAATCATAATTAATTATTTTTTACATTGCAAATGTTTAGATTTCCAGCACTGAAGTATATATTGCAAATTAACTTTTTAAAGAATTGCCCACAATGAATACCATGAAAAATCCGTATGACGACAAATATTTTTCTGTTATCTTTTACCTCAACATAATTGTGTAAAAAAATCTAAGCTTTTCACTGTTTAAAAACAATTTATAGAAATAACAGAAATGCTGTCGTGTGACCTAAGAATAGAATTATCCAAAAAATGTCGAACTATTGTAAATGCAAACCATAACACAGCTAAAAAGCCACTCTCCCTATGTAATTTGTTTGATTTAATTATAGCAGCCACAGGGTTCAAAATTAAGGTTTCAGATCATCAAATAGGCCTATAATATAGGCCTAGGCTCTATTTATAGGCCTAGCAATAGAGAAAAAGAGAATTGTATTCAAATTTAAATCTCTGAGCGTGCCATTTCCAACCATCATCTAGAGGTGCCATAGTCATAACATTTCTTACCTCAGCCACAGTCATAGTTGGGTTGAGTTCAGTGACGTAGGGATGGGCAGTACTCAGACAGTGCAAAGTACTGTGCCCAGGCCTATTGGGGGCCATTCATAGATAAGCCTAAAAATAATAAATATAAATAATCTCCATGTTAATATTTTTGAGAAAAAAAAACGGACAGAGGACGCCTCAGTTTCATTTTGGGTTTTTAAAGGATTAATTATAGAGGAATACTTCACGAGGAGGATTAAGTATATTAATTACTGTGTTTATCTCAATTCAGTGGCGCATTCAAGGGGACCGGGAGGGGCTCTTAAATTGTTTTAAATTATTCAAAAGTAAGTCTGAGAGTGTCATTTTAAACCATCTCGAAGTGATATCATAAATTGTCTTATATCTCGATCTTTCACAGTCCTTCTCGGGGCCCCGCTACTGCAATAATTGTTTAATTCCACGTGCCACCACTGAGAACAGTTTATCTTTATTCAATAGAAACGCATTATTACCCAGCCGTTGAATCAAACACAGTGCACTGGTATTTAAGCCAAAGACGTTTAACTGTTAAACGTTCTTGTTCAATTCAAATGGTTCGCGAACCAATTATTTTGTTAAGTCACTGGACATTATTATAAAATAAAATAGTTTTGTACTCCATGCTTGTTGTGTCAATTCAGTTGTTATCAGGATCTCCAATTATTTATTTTTATTATTTTTAATTGTATTTTATTACATCCAACAGCGGAATCGCCCATTACTGGATGTTTTAAACATACAATATATAAAATATAGTAAAATACAAACAATAACATACAAAGGAAGCAAATCGACAATAAAGAGAGTCCCTAGTTTAACTAAAGAAAGCCTATACTGAATTAGCAACTTTGGATTTAAACGTGGAAAAAAAAAATACGGTATGTCAATTATATGTGAATGCCGCAGGTGTTACGCCTAAATTTCATTTGGTGTTGTGGCAAGTGGTGAATAATAGGCCTAGTTTGTTAAACCCTAAAATCAGTGCATTCCAAAATGCTAAGTTGTCTGAGTTTTCGAGGGCTCCACCATTCCCGAGAGTATCAGGGCCCATCAAGCAAACTCTGGGTGCTATCAATGGGTGTTGAATGTTAATTAAAATATCATTAAAAGTGCTGCAATTAAGTTGAGAGTGTTTTTTTCTAAGGTTTTGCATTTCTATCTGTTGCTCCTTTATTTTTTGGTAATTTTTAAAACAGTACTGTTAATGTGTAAGGACTTTTGAGCATTATTTAGCGTCAAACAGATAATATTGTTACAAATCCAGTTCTCTTACTGGTCAGCACAATACAATTAATGCTTTGATAACATCATCCGATCCTTCTTTGTTTGATGATAATGACTGATGACTGAAATAATCGAAATATAACTTTTTTCATAGAAAAAAAATGTAATGAAAAAAATATTTGAACGAATTGGTCACCAAATTAGTTATGATCAAAATAAAATTGTAAGGTCGCCATTTCAAATGGATAGGCCTGCCAGGAGTTTAGAACACCTGCTAAGACCGCATAGGTCCGTCTTAAATAGAAAAGTTCCGATTACCATAATAATTTTTACATTAAGGGCAGGGAGTAGAAAGAAGTACTGCTTACAATGAATTTTCTGAAAACGTGAATCAGTCTAGTCCTACAATTTTTATTCTTTAGATTCAAAATTTCGGCTCCTGAAAATCAGCTAAACGTCGGATAGTTACAGGAATTCCCCTACCTCCAGAGGGTTAACTTATAGCTCCCAGTATACTGTAAAAACATCGTGAGCATTTAAACACAAAGCTCCGCGCAATTTTGTCCCGTTTTTGGTGACACCTTTAAAAGTTTGTATTAAGAATTGGTTTTCGCAACAAGGAAATTGCTTTCCAGCAGCTATACTTGAGTATCACTTTAGTATGAAAATAGGCTAATTCAATCTGTTTCTCATGCTCTAACGGTAGTCTAAACTTCTAAAGTAAATTGAGGGCGTGTCGTTGGATCTTAGAAAGAAAATGGCGGATGGTCTGGTAATACAATAAAAGTCAGTGGTCGGCTAGTTTAAATACTACCAGTTTTTGTGTGCTTATAAATACTTTAACGTAAGTTATGGATAGAAGGGGAAGTAAAGAACAACTTGAAGACAACGGAACATCTTCACGACATAGAAGACAAAGAAGTGATGGTGCCAATAGTTTGGAAATGGAAATGCTAGGGCCAGGCAGTAATTCGCCAGCCACGAGACAGAAGGCTGGTGTCAGCGCGGTGGCGGGAGGGGCCAGCCCTGTCGCTTCCCTCGGCAGTTCCGGGTCCGCAGAAAATCTACAGTCACAGCAGACTCAACAGGTAAATTTAAAATGTGATATTGGCTTTTAAGAAAATATCTCCCGCATTTTCAGTATTTAATATTAATTCTAGCTAGGGCCTAGGCCTTATTAGCCCTACCATATAATACTAATACTATAGGCCCAAAAGTACTCTCTACCACCTACTTTAGACCCTAGGCCTACTTTACTAGGCCTAGGCTAGGCCGCCCTAAACTAGACTACTTCACCTAGGCCCTACTACTACTAATACTAGGCCTACTGAATTTTGACAAGTGGGGGACGTTTATGTATATCAGCAACTCCCTGCTGTTTGTTTGGATGGCCCTCCTGTCTCCTTGACCTCTCCTACTTGTACCTAGCTAGAGGTCTAGGCTAGGCCTACAGAGAGTAGTCCTAGGAGGCTAGGCCTAGTTAGTAGCCCAGCAACTAACTACTAAGTATTGGTCCCAAGTTGCTAGCTAGGCCTAGACCCATAGATATACTGTAGCCTAGGTAGGTCTAGTTTGGTTTGAGAAGGCTAAAGGCTAGGGCCTGATAAAGAATTAAATAGGCATAGGCTAGGGGAATAGGGTAGGCCTAGTAGGCCCAGGCTTAACTTATACCCAGTTTGTTACATCACATGCTCAGTGTGAAAACGATTGACCTAACGCTGGGGATTGTTTGTGTTACATCTTTTTAAAACTTGTAATACATTTGGTATACGGGTGAATTGATAAGAAAGGTAAAGGGAGGTAGCCTATATTTATTGAATTACAGTAATTGGGCGTAGCTAGTTTATCTAAATTTGGGTACTGGTTAGCCAAAGTGGGTATGAGTTGGCATGGGTATGAGTTAGCCAACACCCAACCCTAGATAATGAAAAGAAATTTTATTTTCTCATGCCAAGTATAGCCTTGATTGTCAAGTCAGTACAGTAGGAGTACTGTAGGTCTGAAGTCTGTGAAAGACATTAGTAATTATACATCAGATTTGACGTGCCAAAAATATAGTCATGTGGAACATTGGCCATATTCGACTGGTCATCAGGGGTTTATTTAAGAGCCGGCGGCCGGCGCATTCGATCGGCCACTACGATGTTTTCGCCGGCTACTTCAATCAATGCTGTACAAAATTAATACAAAAACCACCAATATAAATAGCGCAACAGGCCTGTAAAGTACCTTATTTACCTACACGAAGTTAATTTGCAATAGTATGCACTCATTTCGATGTTCCTTTCTGTTGAAAGTTCGTTAAAAAATGTCTACCAATTTTCAGACTCCATTTCATGAACTCGCAGCGTAAACAATGTTAAAGTTCAAAGTTCAGCAGTCGCGTCTGGGTGAGTCCATCAAAGAAGCCACGCCTCCAAATCACATGTTAGCCAATAAGATAATAGAAATTTCTCCTCCACCACATGCTCAGGTGATGACGATATACATCGCCCAAACTCTTTTACTGTACATTGGGCTTCCGGGTTTTCTCACCGCGGAGAAGAAAAAAAACAGATCGTTGTTTTAAAATTAATTTGTGTATGACTATGAACCTTTTATTTTCATTTCATTTTTATTTTACTAGCCCTCTTTGTGATGACATAGATATTTCGGAAATGATAGATAATAAAAAAAAAACCAACACTGGCTCAAATTCATTTTACATTCGGTGGCGGAGGTAGCAAGCCGAACCAACTATATTGAATGCTGTTTACACTCACAATTTCAGAGTCATAGATAGTACAATGATTAAAACGGCAGAGCAAGCCAAAATCGTCTCAATTCACATCACATGAGATATTTTTTTTCCAATGTGGTATCCATTCCTTTTCGATATCTGCGTAAATTTTTAGAACCATTTTTTGCTCTCCTTTAGATGTTTTCTTCAACGCAGATCTAGGGCATAGGCCTAAATGGTGAATCCCCACAAATTTCAAATTTGTGAAAAGTAAACAACTTCATCATTATAAAAGAATGTATTTCAATTATTGAATCAATATTCTGACCTTAAATTCCGATGTTGAGCTCGAAAAATTCGTAAATTCTAGGCCTATTCTAACCTACTCAGTAAGTATACTAATCAAGGAAGTTCTGATCATCACTGCAATCAAGGAGGTTCTGATCATCACTGCATGTGATTATCAGCTAAAATTAAATAAAAACATTGATTTTGTTGTCAGTTATGCTATTATTTACATTTTGTAAATTTTATCATCATGATTGCTAAATTTTAGTATACTGTAAAACCAGAAAAATTTGTGAAAAAAAAATTCCTGCAAATTCCATGAGTAGTCATAAATAGCGAGTTTTATGTCGCAAAAAAACAATCAATAATTTAATACAGTATATCAAACACTTTGAGCTTGAATCAGTTTCAGAAATGAGATTTTGGTCATTAAAAATCACTGAATTACACCAAAAATTAATTTCAATTTTTTAAAAGATGAACAATAAACAGCAGAAATTGTCGGTATAAATCGGTATTTCAAGGCCTAAACTCGCTCTGACGATGATACAAAGCAAATCTAGGGCGTTTTGCGATTCACAAAAGTTTAATGTCGCGAAAACGGCTGAAATTATCAAATTCGCGAAAGTTTCTGGTTTACAGTATTTAGGCTAGGTTGGCCTATGTATGAAGAATATGTAAAAATATCAACTTTTTTAGAGCTCAGTAATTGATTCTGAAAAACTGTTTAAAAAAAAATGATGTAGAGAAATGCCATTAAATGGGCTTAAAAAACTCTAAAACCCTGGAGCGCAATGGCGCTTCCACCCCCCTTGACCCCCGACCAGGGCTCTGCCCCTGGACCGCGATGGGGGCCTAGGCGGCCCCCCTATACCCCCGGCCTATTTCAATTTACTCTCCTGTTACTTTCAAATTTCTCCTGCTACTCAAATTCTTAAATAAACCCCTGACGGTCATTCATCATTAGACAACGCCTACCTGTACAAAGATGACCAAAACAAAATGGCTACCTAGTTACCCTGAAACATGCTAGCACCTTTTGCGTCTTGTTTTAAACAAGTATTTTCATGTAATGTACTTTTTGTGTCTATGTTCCCTCTGGGGCAAAGACACTATGTTATGATCAGGCAGTTAAAGATGGCGGAAAGGGTAAATCCGTTGAAGGTGTATGTGTCATCTTAAGTACCTTATTACTGTACAAAGTCATTAAAAAAAAAAAAAACAGACCACCACACATTTCCTGATAACCGAATCCCATGTTGATACTTTATTAGTAAACATAATATAGTACTTAAGGTACCGTAGCTCCCGTTGTGAGCCTATTTTTGAATTCTGTATCTAAGTATTCTTTATGTTGGAAAATATTATTATTTTCCAGTAATATTTCCAACCACAAATAATTTTGCTAAACTGTCCAATCTGCTATGTTTGTTTAAGCCGAGCACTTAATGCGCACGACCGTTGACTGACGAGATCCTATGAAGAACGCAACGCGACGACGTGCGTGCAACGGGTCGTTTTTAAGGACGATCCGTTCAGACTGCCACCGACAATCAGCAGACGGCGTTGCGGAGAACAGAGTTGGATTTTTCGTGCGTCGGTGGTACGACCGTCGTACGACACAGCGAGTGTCCGGCTTTAGGTCATGTTATTAACTTATTGAAAATTAACAGACTCTGGATTACATGTCATACCAGCGAAACAAGCAAGTCGAATACGGCAATTATTATGTGAAAATGTTGTACATTGTTGTTTCTATTTTAGGAGTGTTGAGCTGAAAAAGTTACGCTACTGAGGAAAAAAATCATTAACCATATTAAATTTAAAAATTCAGTTGCAAGTTAGTTGCCCCTCCACCCCACCCACCGTCTTAAATTTTTCAAAGGCAGGGTCTGTTTTACATATCGTCGACCTACCTGTAAGTATATTATGATAAATTAAGTATAACTTTTTAAAAACTTTATAGATACTTTGAATGTAATGTAAACTGATTAATTATCTGTATTAGCTATGCATGTAAATCAGATACATTACAGCTGACAATTACCGCTCCTTATCTACTCGCAGCCCTTCATACCTTACGTTCAGGTACCAATTTGAACGTAGCTACAAAGGTCATTGTTATTTTAATTAGCTGTGCGGTGATTGTAGGGTGGATCATCAGGTTGATAAACAATATTGAAATATAGTTTACCGGCTTTTAAAATGTTGCAATGTCGCAATTTAGTAATAAACAATGTTAGAATTTTAATATTGTTCGTTATTTCCTTTCTTTAGATCGATCATGTTTTAAAACAGTGTTTTGGTTAGGCCTACAGTAGGCTATGCTATATTCAAATTTAGATGTTGATCTTCATCGATCTTATTAGAGGCCTAGGAGGAGCAAACAGTGACATGTGGTATACTTCCCAATTCGGAGTATTTTAATCAGATTTTATTGTTTTTCAATAGGCATTCCTTATACATCAACAATATTGATGAAAAATCAGTAAATGTCTCGTAAAAATTAAGATTTCTGCATAAAGATTATGTTTTTGTTATTCTAATATGAAGTAGAGGAACCACAAAACGACCCAATACAATCGCTTTTGCAATGCAAAAAAGGAACTATAGAAATTGCTATTGTACCTTCCCAAATCAAAGCTAGTGATGATGGACCACATTTCCTTTATTTACTGCTTGGTTCAACTTGGTTTGCCGCGAGTTTGACTCTTAACACACTTTACTTTATTCTGATTGGCACGCATGCTGGTCGGTAGATTTTCCATGTTAGCAAGATCATGAACTGGCAATTCACCAAGGTGTCTTGTGAAGTCACGATGCGATCGTGTTTGTGTATTTCAAACAGTTATTTATTGGCAAAGTTATATAAAATAAAAGCCATTATACCAATTTAAAAAAAAATCAGTGACATTATGAGAAGCTTGTGGGTAATTTAATTGTTTTGCTATACAATTGTGATAATTTATTATTTAATATAAAGTGATTATAAAATGCAAATAATACTTACATTCCACCTGCAAATTGCTAACTTTACAGAAAGTGGTCTTGCAAAAATCAAACACCAAGGCAAGTGTACTC